CAAATAGTTTTGAGAGTTTATCTTAAAATTTTCACTAGGGCTAGTTTAACATCCTCACTAGCATATTGGTTTAGGTGGTGCAGTTGTATAGTAACGAGAGTTCCCACTAACTTTTACAGAGCCTCTGCAGAACCTGGAGTAGTTTGTGCAACACATTGCATCTATTGCGTGGGGGTTATATTGTATCATTTTTCGATTTCATTTATTAACTATTAAGTGTGCATTTATTATTTTACAGTTACGAGTTTTTTTAAAAAAAATTAATTTATGGGATGAGGGCATCACTGGCTAGACCAGCATTTATTCCCCATTCCTAATTGCCCAGAGGGCAGTTAAGAGTCAGCTACATTGCTGTGGGTCTGGAGTCCTATGTAGGCCAGATCAGGTAAGGATGGCAGTTTCCTTCCCTAAAAGACATTAGTGAACCAGATGGGTTTTTCCTAGCAATCAGCAGTGGTTTCATGGTCATCATTACACTCTTAATTCACAGATTTTTTTTATTATTGAATTCAAATTCCACCATCTGCCATGGCAGAATTCACCCAAGCCCCCAGAACATTCGCTGAGCCTCTGGATTAACAGTCCAATGATGTCACCACTAGGCTGCCATCTCCCCACTTTTTGTATAAAAGTGAAATATTTCGATATCAGTTGCACAATACTGTCTTCTCCACATTCGTAATCAGTCTTCTTGGCGATTGTAGCCTGGTTAAATCCATGCCATTTTCGTAATTACATTTTCTGGAAATCTTCTTTCCAGGTGGTCAGCTAACTGGTGAATTAAGTGAAGGATTGCAGCAGTATCCACATTACTATCAAGGGCAGCCAGAAAGTTCTTCTCTTCTTCACTCCAATAATTATGTTCCGATAGATACTGAGTGTCCAGTTTATTGATCTTGGGCTTTGAAAATTGAATAACTTCCTTTATTAAAAGGCATCTCTGCAGTTCACCACTGTTCAGAGCTGTTATTAATTTACAAAATCAACACAAAGGTAGAATTTATTGAATCCTTACCCAAACACCAAGAGACCTTGAAATGAGGACAAAAAGGCTGACCCTGATTTGGTAAAGTTATAGAACAAAGAACAGTACAGCACAGGAACAGTGCCTCTCATCCCCCATTTGTGTCGACCATGATGCCATTCTAAATTAATTTGCATGTACCTGCGCACGTTCCGTATCCCTTTATTCCTGCCTGTTCATGTGTCTGTCTGAATGCCCCTTAAATGTTGCTATTGTATCTCCTTCAACCATGTTCCCTGGCAGCACGTTCTGGGCTTTTGACAAGTCCCCAGCTGGAGGTGATGTGACTTGGCTGTTCTGAAGATAAGTCATACCTAACTCGAAACACTAACTCTGTTTCTCTCTCTCTCCACAGAAGCTGCCAGGTCTGCTGAGTTTTTCCAGCATTCTCTGCATTTATTTCTGATTTACAGCGTCCACCGTATTTTGCGTTCTATAAAAAGCAAGACCCTCCAGTAGACGGAAGTCAGCTTTACACCAGTCAGGATCGGTGGTTTGATGATGTACAGGTGTTGGTGCATTCTTGCCAGCTTGTGACGTTCGATTTTACTTATTTATGGTCCAGCCTCACGAGATATCAGAATCTGCAAAGGTGTGCTACATCTGTTTGTTTATATGAATTTTTAAACAAACAAGAATAAGATAGGACACAAGCTCCAAAGTAATTAGACAAAGCTGCAACTCAAACGGAACAAAGGGGGTCAAGATTTCTTAAAGGGAATTTGTCTTGCAAAAAGAGAGATTTTCACAGTGGAACCCAGTAAGTTATCATCGATCCAAAAGAATGCTTTCCCTTCCTCTCTCACTGAACCAAGTTCTAAGCCTGTGACCACTTCCATCTAGAAGAACAAGGACAGCTGATACATGGGAACACCAGCCCCTGCAAGATCCCTTCCAAGCCACTCCCCATACAGACTTGGAAATGCATTAACAACAATCTGCCACTGAACTGCCAATTCCTTGAATTGTAACTCAGAAAAGGGGTCCTTTTTCTGATGAAGGGTCTAGGCCCGAAACGTCAGCCTCTCTGCTCCTATGATGCTGCTTGGCCTGCTGTGTTCATCTAGCCCTGCACCTTGTTGTCTAAGATTTATAGGTGACCTTGTTGTGGTTGCCAAAAATTGAAAACAATTTTGACAGGGTAAAAAAAGGATATTCTGTTTGCACTAGTTGGTAAGTCAGTAACTAGGGGTCACAATTTCAAGATTGTCAGCAAGAGAGCTAAGAGTGAGATGAGGAGAAACTTCTTTACGCAGAGTTGTTAGGATTTGGAATGCACTGCCTGGGAAAGTGGTGGAGGCAGATTCGATAGGAGGTTTCAAAAGAGCTGGAAATATATTTGAACGTGATGAATGTAGAGGGTTATGGAGACAGGCCTGGAGATTGGGACTAGCTGTTTTGGGAGCCGGTATAGACAAAATGGGTCGAATGGCCTCCTTCTGTACTGTAGAATTCTATGATTTTATGGTGTGTATGTACATGTGTGTGCGCTAGTTTCACTGCTTACCCTTCTAAATAATCCATTATATTCTGAACTACAGTAATAAGTTCTGCACCTTCATCGAAGGAGAGATAGTAGGAACTACCGATGCTAGAGAATCTGAGATAACAAGGTGTAAAGCTGGATGAGCACAGCAGGCCAAGCAGCATCACAGGAGCAGGAAAGCTGACATTTCAGGTCTGGACCCTTCTTCAGAAAACGAAGGGTCCTTTCTGAAGAAGGGTCCAGACCCAAAACATCAGCTTTATTGAAGAAGTTTTGTTTTATAATTAAAACTTAAAATATCAATTTAAGAAACCTGGATATGTATTTTGAAAGCTATATTAATAAATTTATAAATAACTGGGCATCTCGATAATTAAATCAAGTTATGGGTTACCCAGTTATCTGTAGTTACCATTGGGGTAATGGCACGCAAGTAAGACAGCACACTCAGTTTCCGTGGTCAAAATACAAGACGCACTTCAAGGCTCAAGCAAGGGGAGCAGAAAGAACTTTTAATGTCTTAAAACAGGAAAGATGTAAACATCAAAGCATCACAGAGCCTCTTTATCGAGATCACGTACAAAGACAGCTAGGCTGCTGCAGGGTAGGACAGCACAGTGGCAATTATACTAGGCTCGAAATCCTAAGGGCTGTACTGATAATGGAGCAGATACAGGAGTTTAAATCTCACCACAGCAGCTGCTGGAATTTGAATTAATGAACTGATTAAGAACACAGAATGAGGCTATTTAGCCCATCATACTTGCTCTGCCATTCAACTAGATCATTACATCAAATGACAGAGGAGCAGCACAGTGGTTAGCACTGCTGCCTCACAGCGCCAGGGACCCGGGTTCGAGTCCAGCCTCGGGCAACTGTCTGTGTGGAGTTTGCACATTCTCCCCGTGTCCGTGTGGGTTTCCTCTGGGTGCTCTGGTTTCCTCCCACAGTCCAAAGATGTGCAAGTTAGGTGGATTAGCCATGCTAAATTGCCCATAGTGTTCAGGGAGGTGTAGATTAGGTGGATGGGTCTGGGCGGGATGCTCCGAGGTTCAGTGTGGACTTGTTGGGCTGAAGGGCCTGTTTCCACACTGTGGGGATTCTATGATTCTGTGATTCAGAAGTAGGCCATTCAGCCCATTCAAGTCAGCTCCATCGTTCAATGAGATCATGGCTGATCTGATCATTCTCTACTCCATGTTCCTCTCTCGTCCCGATTCCCTTCCTAATTAAACATCTGTCTATCTCCACATTGATGGCTGATTTTCTACCTCAGTGTCATCTTCCCACATTATCCTTGTATTCCTGAATATGTTTACTATGTAGAATAAATTTGGAATCTACCAGCCATGGACAGAAATCAGCAGGGCAAGTCTAACTCAGGCAATTACTGCCCCATCAGTCCACGCTCAAAATGATGGAATGAGCTGTGTAACAGTGTTATCAAGTAGCACTCATCTCAGCTACAACCTACTCATTGATGGGGCAGTCAATTCCTGAGCTTCCTACTGCTTCAGTCCAAACATGGACAAGATTCTCCAGCATCTGCAGTTCCTACTATCTCTGATTCAATTTTAACCCCACCTTTAAATCTTCTTGCTCCAAGGAGAATAATCCCAATCTTTCCTTATGTCTAAAATCTCTCATTCCTGGTATCATTCTATTAAATCTCCTTTGCACCCTCTCCAAGGCTTTAACATCCTTCCAGTTAAAGAAAAATTAAAGAATCTTTCTTTGCAGAGAACAAGTGTACTAAACAAAATTTTTAAATACATGTTAGACATGTCTAAGACCAGATGGCATAAGTTCAAGGTGAGGACTAAGTGATGTGGAGATCTGAAGAAAAAAATTTTCACCCAGAGGGTGAAATATGAAAGGTGCTACCTGAGATGCCTTCATCAACTTAAGACGTTATTGAGTTGTACTGTGCTACATTCCCAGTGTGCAGGTTTGGGAAATGTTGTCCAGGGAATTTTGATGACTTCCTGCAGTGCATTTTATAGATGGTACACTCTGCTACTGAGCGTTGGTAGTGGAGGGAGTGGATGTTTGTAAATGTGGTGTTATTCAAGCGGGCTGCTTTGTCCTGGATCGTGCAGAGCTTCTTGAGTGTTGTTGGGTCTGCACCCATCCAGAGTATTCTATCACACTCCTGACTTGTGCCTTGTCAATGGTGGACAGGCTTTGGGCAGTTGTTCATTGCAGGATTCTTCAACTCTGACCTGCTCCTTGTCGTTTTTTTGTACAGCAAGACCAGTTCAGTTTCTGTTCAGTGCTAACCCCCAGGATGTTGACAGTGCAGGATTCAGTGATGGTGGTTACAGCTGGTTATTACATGATCAAAGAGTGACAGGAAGTATTTAGAATCAATAGAGGAAGACAGCAATACTGTGCTGAAATAGTTTTAGCTAATATGTTGTCACTGCTGTACTATAGTCCGTTGTTTATGCTTGGAATTTATTCAACTCCATGTTGTGTTTATACCCTCAGGTTACACATGCACATGTTGAATGGACCTCTTCTGGCATTGCTCTTCCCTGTAGTCAACACTAGACTGGTGAGTGTTTGGCTGTGTGTTCACAGCTTTCAATCTGCTCCTCTTGGGTTTGAATGGTTAGAGATTAGTCACCGCCCACTCATAAGGTCCAGAATTATGTGTGTTGGGTGAGGGCTGGAGTCCCAGGTCAGAAAGTTCCTGTGACCACCCTTATTGGTCCTTGCATGTGATGGCTGAGTTACATTTGTAAGCTAAACCTCCCAACCCCCTCACCCACCCAACCTAATCCTTGCTTCTTCCCATTCTCGGTAGCTCCCACCCACCCTGGAGAGAGAAGATCTGGCGAAGGTCTGTGGTAAGAGAAATATGTTTGGATTGAGGCAAGGAAATCAGAACGCTATGAAGGCCAACGGTTGCCTCCTTCACCACCTCCTGTACCTGCAATGCTTACTTTCAGTGACTGGTGTACAAGGACACCCAGGTCTCGTTACACCTCCCTGTTTCTCAATCTGTCACCATTTAGATAATGATCTGCCTTCCTGTTTTTGCCACCAAGGTGGATAATCTTAGATTTACTCATGGGGTGTGTGGGAGGTTTGGTGGGGGAAGGGAGGCATAGGGGAGAGTGAATGATGGGAAAGATTGATGGAAATGTGGAGGAGGGGACTTTAGGGTGTAATCAGGAAGATTGTGGAACGTGAGGCGGGACAAATCGGTCATAATGTGGAGTCAGCGAGGGGGAGATTGGGATGAATGTGGTGCTACAAATGTGAGGTTTCTAAGATTAAGTTCTGTGCCTGCATTTTGGGTAAACTAAAGGAGCAAGGTCACCTGTTGTGTTAACATATTTTTCAGTGTTTAAAATTGAAAAAAACGTGGAATCATCAGATGATGCAGTGCAGAAGAAGACTATTCAACTCTTGTACCTATGCTACCTCTTTGAAAGAGCTGTCTAATTATTCTCACTATTCGTATCCTGCAATTTTGTTGCCCTTAAAGTATTTATTCTACTTTCCTTGTGAAAGCTACTATTGAATTTCCTACTGCTGTTCTTTCAGGCAGCACGTTCCAGGTCATAACATCTCCCTGTGGAAAATTAATTTATTTTTATCTCTCCTGTGGTTCCCCTTTTAAATGCACCTTCTGTGGTCAATGCACCTGCCACTGGAAACAGTTTCTCCTTATTCACGCTATCAAAACTATTCATCGTTTTGAACACCTTTTATCAAAGCTTCTCTTGTCTATGAAGAGCAATCACAGCTTTCTCAGTCCCTCTGAATAACAGACGCCCCTCGTTTCTGACAACTGTAATAAATTTCCCGTGCATTGTCTTTAAAGAAATTTGTGTTGTTCAATGTTTCCCTAAATTGTGTGTTTCTTGTTTGCAGCTCCCATTTGAAACGGAGGTGTATTACATTCAGCACATTCTCATGTATGTTGTCCCTCTCTACCTGCTGAGCAAAGGTGGTGAGTACAGCAGACTGGCTATTTTATATAACCTGCTGAAGAAAAATTGAATAGTATTTTTTACATACCGTCTTTCACAAACTCATGATGTGTTCTTAATGTACAGAATTCTGTTGTTGCTATGATGCCGAATGACCTTCTGCGCTGTAACCATTCTGTGATTCTGAGAAGGTTTTGTTTTAAAAAAAAATCAATAATAAGATGAGAAAATGCCCCAAGCCGTTTTGCCAAGGTAACAGGAGCAGGCCATTCAGCCTCTTGAGCCTGTTCTGCCATTCAATGAAATCATGGCTGATTTGTGGCCTAACTCCATGTACCTGCCTTTGGCCCCCATCCCTTAATACCTTTGCTAAACAAAAATTAAATCTATCTCATTTAAAATTAACAACCGATCCACTCCATTTGTGGAAGAGAGTTCCCTTTGTGTGTAGAGGGTCAGTATTAATGCATGACCCAAAAGCTTGGTTAAAAAAGTAGGATTTTAATGAGCTTCTTAAAGAAGGAGCATAAGGCGGAATAGATCCAGCAGGAAATTCAGGAGGTTAAAGATGTAGATGGCTGAAGGAAGAGCACAAAAAGTACCAAGGCAAATAAAGCACATGTAGCCCGAGACCAGGTCAGCACAGCATAGAGTTCCTTAATAGTTGGGGTTTATAGAGAGAAGGAGCAGACAGGACACAGAGTATATTGAATGTGAGATTGAGATTAATCACATGATCTCCACTTTCCAGATATCTATAAACCAGAGCCGTTGGGAGACTTCTGGTGGCCACTGCTGGCAACGGGTATTCTATTTCTATATCACTACACTGTTCTTCAGGCCCTAGGACTGGTGAGTACACACATTAATCTGGGATGATTCTTAATGGGGAAAGATTTACATGTTTATTGTCTAGAAACCTACAAAACTCTCACAGGATTGGACAGGTTAGATGCAGGAAGGATGTTCCTGATGCTGAGCAGTCCAGACCAAGGATCACAGTTTAAGGATAAAAGGCAAACCCTTTTAGGACTGCAATGAGGAAACCACCGCAGAAAATGGTTGAGGACAAAATATTATGTGTTTTCAAGAAAAAGGTAAATATAGCTCTTGTGGGTGAAGGGATCAAGAGATAATGGAGGGGAGGGTGGGATGTAGGTATTGAGCTCGATGATCAGCGATGATCATGTTGAATGGCAGAGCAGGCTCAAAGGGCTGAGTGGCCTACTCCTGCTCCTATCATCTACATTTCTGCAAGATGATGACAGTTTTAGATATTGTAGACAGGGGCTAGGAGACACTGTTTTAAATGCTTTGAGACCAAGAGGTGCAGGCAGGGGAGATGGGAAGTAGAATGTTTTTGGTGCTGGCCTGTAAATCACTGCCTATGAGGGTGGTGAAACTGGAGAGAATCTGTGATTTCAAATGGAAATTGAATGGGCGCTTGAGAGAAACGATGGAGATAAAGCAGGGGGAATGGGTTGGACTGGATTGGGCGACAGAGAGCCAGCAATGACTGATGCAGTGATTCCGACTGTGTTCGACACTTTGGCTCCCATTGCATGAATTCTGCTAGAGCACAGAGCTGTAGGATTCCTAGACCATTGTATGTTGGTAGTGCTCTGGGGATTCCAGACAGTGAAGATTTACTCCTTTTCTGGGACAAAGCTTTCAGTGCAGCTCTGAGGAAGAGGGAGAGGAAATGAAAGGCAAAAGTGAATGTGCCTCTCTTCAAACATCGGGAGGTTAGTAATTAGTCTGTGCCTCAATGGTGGAGATTTGTTAATTGTCAGGTTTAAAAATATCACTCTTGTGTTCACTAGAATATAATTCAGTACATGTTTCTTAAAATAGAAGATTTAATTACAGGGAGAAGCTCTGACACCGCTCCCTCCGGTACCAGCAAGATTAAATTCTAGCAGGGATCACAGGGTGGCGAGATTGGAAATGAAATGTTCTAGAAATCCATGGAGCATCAATCAGCATGCAAGAGAGAACATGTTAATGGATCAGGTTTCATCCTGAAGAGATGGAAAATTCACCCACACCACAACCTACTCACCACCCTGTTTCAAGTCCACTGGGCACCCAATCCCAGATTCCAGCTGGGAATATTAAACTCGGATATAGTTTGGGAAGGAAATGCAGCACAAATTCAGTCAAAAGCTCCTGCAATCACAAAGGGCCAAATTGAGGACAGGTGCATAGTCTTGGCAATGTTCCCTTGAGCTTAAAGGTTTAAGGGCCATTCACATTATTGCACTTAAGATAATTAAAGGTGTTGCCTGGTTATTTGGAGAGAAACTGTCTCCTCTGGTGCAGTTGAAGGGACACAAGAACTTGAGACTTGCAGGCATTCCCATGGCCAGTGACACTGGAGGCCTATACTTGTGCCTATGTCTGTGTCAGTTCCATTGACCCAACATCTGCCTGCCTTGGGGAAAGCCATTTAGCATTGAGTGCGATCAATTAGAAGACTCTTTCTGACTCCTGACTCTCCACACTGCAAACCAGAGAAGGCCACTCACTTTGTTTCGCCACATGGTTCTGACTTCCCATAGCAACTGTGGGCCCTTTGTAAACTGTCCCCGGACCGGCTGAAGCCTCTGCACAGTCACCCAACATCACGAGGACCATCCAAACTAGAGATTTGGGTGCAGTCCAAACACAAACACAGGAACTAGGAGCAGCAGCAGGCCATTCAGCCCTTCAGGCTTACTCATGGCTGATCCTGTATCTTGATTCCTGCTTTCTCCCCACTCCCTTTTAAAATCTTAAAAAAAAAAATTATGAATCTCTTTCCTTAATGTATTAGTGAATTGTTCTCTTCAGCCTTCTTTGGTAGAGAATTCCACAATTTGACTACCCTCCGAGTGAAGAAATGTTTCCTCATCTCAGTCCTAAATGGTCTATCCCATAGGCTGAGACTGTGTCCCCCAATTCTAGCCTCCCCAACCAGGCTTGCATCTGGTCTGTCCAGCCCCGTGAGAATTTTATACTTTCAATCAGATCCATTGCCCCCCCATCCTTCTATACTCTAGTGAATACAGGCCCACATAAACCAATCTCTCCTCATAGGACAGGCCTACCATTCTTGTACTCCAGGTCATAGAATCTCTACAGTATGGAAGCAGACCATTCAGCCCATCAAGTCCACACTGCCCCTCTACCCTATCCCTGTAAGCCTACATTTCCCATGGCAATCCACCTAACCTGCACATATTTGGACTGTGGGAGGAAACCAGAGCACCTGGAGGGAACCCACGCAGTCCCAGGGAGAACATGCAAACTCCACACAGTCACCCGAGAATGAAATCAAACCTGGAGCTGTGAGGCAGCAGTGCTAACCGCTGAGCCACCGTGCCATCCATCTCTCCACGGCCCTGTACAGCAGAACAAAATCTCCCTACTTTTATATTCCAATAACTGACGCTGTCAAGGGGTGTCAGCAGAGGAGGGCTTAAAAATTTCCATCCAGCCACTAACAAAGCCACTGCTTGGCTCTGTGACAATGCACATGGTAAATAGATAAATAGCTATCCATCACAGGATTATTAGAAGGATTTACTGACTGTTGCTCGACCTGTTCAACCAAATTATGACATGTTTTCCTTGGCTGTTTATTAATGCTGGTTGAGCTCAGAGCCTCAGGGGAGTGAGCCCCTGCATTGAAATAGCACTATGGAATCTTGTGTCCAGTGGAGAGGACCAATGGTGCCTCAGTTTAACCGGGAGACAGCTCCCCTGACAGTGCAACACTCCCATACTGCACTGCAGTGGGTAGCAGACCAGATCCCTGTAAATCACGTCCCCGGGAGTGGGATTGAACGCTCAAACTCTAAGAGGCAAGAGCTCCCTCTTGTGAGCCCAGGCTAACGGTTTTAATGGGCAAAAGCCCTCGTTGTGGTGGGAGACTAAGAAGGACATGGCATGGAACTAGGAGAGATTGAAGAAGTTGGGTTGGTTATCCGTGGAGAGAAGGAGGCTGAGAGATCTGAATGAGGTTTTCAAAATTGTGAGCAGGCTGGACAGGGACAATAGGGTGAAGGTGGTCCTGCTCGTAAAAGGAACAACAACAGGAGGGCGTAGATTTAAAGTGACTTACAAACAGCAAGGATAATTTGAGGGGCAACAAAATTTTCTCACGCAGTGAACAAGAGCAAGGAGGAGATGTTGAACTTGACACTTGTTAGACCTCAGCTGGAGGATTGGGTACAGTTGAGGGCGCCACATTATAGGAAAAATGTGAATGCATCAGAGTGAGTGCATAAGTGATTTTCAAGAATGGTTCCAGGAATGGGAAACTTCAGTTGTGAGGATAGATAGAAGTTGAAGCTGTTCTCCTTGGAGAGAGGGCAGCTGGGAGGGGATCTGATGAAGGTGTTCAAAATCATGAGTGGGCAGGACAGATTTGATAAGTGACTTTGTTTCCACTCAAAAGAAACATGAATGAGACAGCATAGATTTGAAGTGATCTGCAAAAGAAGCAAAGGTGAAGTGAGAACTTTGTCACACAGCGAGTAGTTTGGGACTGGAATGCACTGCCTGGAAATATGATGGAGACAGGTTCAGCTGGAGCATTCAAGAGGGACATTGGATGTAATGGTGTGCAGGGTTCTGGGGAAAAGGCAGGAGATTGGCATTTGTGAATAGAGCTGGTGCATGTGTGAAGGGCCAAATGGCAGCCTTCTGCACTATAATAATTGATTTCAGTCAAAGAAACCAGGAGTTGCAGAGTAATCTTTCAGGAGAATGATCACTGAGCCAGTATAAATGGGTTAAAGAGTTAGGTTTGTTTCTGAAGAGAGGGAGAATTGAATGAGTAGGTGGTGCCAGGTCACAGCTCCTACAGGGAGACCAAGTTGCTGTGGCAACATGCACTCTCATTCTTTCCAAAACAAGGCTGTTTGGGAATCTCTCCTATTCTTGCCGACTACCATAGGAAAGATTAGCACGTTGGTGACCAAATTGTTCCTGGCTCGGAGACAGAGACACTACCTGAAATAACTCCAGAGGCTGGTATCCTGTCACCAAGTCACCCTTTATTTATACATGCATAGTGCTTGATACCGGTCTGGCTTCCTCTGAGCCAGCTCTCCGTGAACAGAATCCTTGACACCCATGTTTATATCCGTCAGCCAGGTCTCCCTGATTGGACATCCCCAGTCAGGGAACTCCTATTCTATGAGGTCCATCTGGCTGACCTTGTTACAATCACTATACCACCCACAAATAAAGGGAAGTGGTTGGATGAAATTACTATTCCCAGGCTCCCTGTGTTCATGACAATATGAAGTATAATGTGCCTGGCAGATTGCAAGGAGAATTTTTCACGACAGAAGGAGCTTGTTTAAGTGATAAGCTCTTTGGAAAAAGCTGTCCAATCCCTTGGTCTTTCATCACAGCTCTGCAAATGGCTACTTTTCAAATCATAGACTTTTTGAAATTTGTTATTAAATTTATGGTGGAAATCCAAAACAATGTGGATCAATAAACCGCGAATAGCCCAGTGGTCTAAAGGCTTCCAAGTGAGATAAATCTTAGAACACTAGACATCGGAGCAGAATTAGGCCATTCAGCCCATCGCGTTTGCTCTGTCATTCGATGAGATCATGGCTGATCTGATAATCCTCAACTTCACTTTCCTTTCTCCCCCCCCACAATCTTTGATTCAATAAAACCATAAGAAATAGGAACAGGAGGAGGCCATTCCGCCACTTGCGCCCACTCTTCTCCCCACCCCCGCCCCGCCCCCCCCCCCCCCCCCCCACCACCCCATTCAATAGGATTGTCGCTGATCCAGATCCACTTTCCTGCCCTTTCCCCATAACCCTTGATTCCCCGACTGATCAAGAATCTATCTATCTCAGCCTTAAATATACACAAGGACTCTGCCCCTTCAGCTCTCTGTGGCAAGGAGTTCCAAAGACATTCAACCCACTGAGAGAAATTCCCTCCTCAACTTGGTCTTAAATTGGTGCCCCTTTACTCTGAGACAATGTCTTCTGTCCTAAACTCTCCCATGAGGAGAAACATCCTCTCAGCATTTATCTTACTGATTAAAAATCTGCCTTTTAATATACTTAACAACCCAGCCTCACCAGCCCTCTGCAGTAAAGAATTCCACGGAGTCACAATGACCAGCCAAACATGACTGTATTTCATCCTCTACATCTCCTTCTACCATAAACAATATCCCCCTGCTCTCTAAACTCCTATCCCATCCTTGGAATGACCTACCCCAACTTGACACTCCAACTGCTCCTTGATCCATCTTGTCTCGTGTACGTGCCTAACTCTCTCTCCTTTTCTCCTTTGCTTTCCACATTCACCTTTTATAGGAAGTGCTTTTAGGGGGATAATAGGCACTGCAATAATGTAGTCAACATCTGAAATATTTGCATAATGTTTTGGGGCAATGAATTTTTAAATCTCAAATTTGTTCTTTAAATAACATCCTTCTCCTGTATGACAGCTAGTGATATTATTAATGTAAAAGCAAACAATGTTTTAAATTTTCATTGTCCATGAAAGAGCCTTGAGACCTTGTGAAAAGAGGGTGTGACTTCTGTATAAATCTTCTCTGACTTTGCTGTCTATCTGCAATCCAGCTATAATGCAGTATCACCTCTGACCCCAACATCCACATTATGACAAATTTCCACTGTCCTTTCAGGAAGTTCATTCCATCACATCAGAAATTTTTTTTTAAACATAAAAAAAGCAAATTTCATTTCGCTTCACTTTCTCCTGTTTGTTCTATCAATTGCCTTAAATTTGTATGTAATAATGGTAATGCTGGACAAGTCATGGCAGCATGCTGACTCAGTGGAGAGTGGCATGGTGGATCAGTGGTTAGCACTGCTGCATCACAGCACTAGGGACCTGCGTTCAGTTCAGCCTCTGGTGACTGTCTGTGTGGAGCTTGCGCATTCTCCCTGTGTCTGTGTGGGTTTCCTCCGGGTGCTCCAGTTTCCTCCCACAGTCCAAACATCTGCAGGTTAGGGTGGATTGGCCATGCTAAATTGCCGTGATGTCCAGGGATGTGCAGCCTACGTGGATTAGCCATGCAAAATGCGGGGTTACAGGGACAGGTGAATCAGCTTGATCAGCTGAATGGCCTTTTTCCGCAGTGTAGGGATTCTATGAAATCTGATCCCAAGGAATTCTGATTTGATACACCAGAAGTTTGCTTGCTCTTTGTTTTTCTGTGATGGTCAGTAACTGTACGTATTCATAACAAACTGTCAATGTACTTTTAACAAAAGAACATAACATTTTATTACACATGAGAAAAGCATGAACTGTATTACACTTTGAACAATTTGAAACAATCAAAGATTCAACCATTTTATGCCCATAACAACTTTACAGATAGTCAAACCTCAGCAAAGGGCCATGCCTGTCTCCATTTTTAAAGCTCCTTGTGCAGCTGGCATGCCTGTAATCAGTTCTTGTTTGGCGAATTTCTGCATTCACTTGACACTATATCTTCTTTCTTCCTGTGACTCTTCAACAAGCTGCTAACTCCGCCCACTTAGTCCTTAGCATGTTTTACTAAAATTTCAGGTCTTCAACAGCCTTGTAGAATGTATTCTTCTGTAACACCTCAACAGTTGTCTGCTTGCAAAGGTTCTCTTAGTGATTTCTAAGCTGCTCAGATCTTTACCACCCAGACTAATTGGAGACTGCTAAATTTAGCAACATCTCTCATGTAATGAAATTCTTCTGAGTGAAACTGCACATTGCCTGACCATCTTCTGGATGATTCTAACTTTCTATGTTGCTGGCCTCCTATCACCAACAGTGTAAGTATTTTTTCCACTCCCTTTTGCCCTAATGCACTGAATTATTCACCTCAAGAGTTTGAAAGTCGTCATTTTAAATGACACCCATCCACACAACTCTTAGAGAACATTAAAAATGCAACAAAAAGCCATGTCCTCCCCACTCAGAGCACACGTAATATAGAAATGCAGATCAAACTTTAATATTATATGTCAGTCCTGCACTTTAAAACCCAAATTCTCAAACAGTATGCTATGTCCTCTGGTTATCGCCTCTCCAGCCAGTGTGAGTGGTTTCTCCTTGTATATTCCATCAAACCCATTCAAGATTTAGAAGAATTTATTAAATCTCCTCTTAACCTTCTCTGCTCTGAGAATAATTTCAGCTTCTCCAGCCCCTCATTTCTGCGCAATTGTAGTAAATCTCCTTTGTCACCCTCTCCAAGTCCTTGATCTACTCCCTAAAGTGTGGTGCCCCCAGGATTGAATTTAATCCTCCACCTGAAGCCTACTTAACATTGTGTTGTAACAGTTTAGCCTAATGTCTTGCTTTTTGTACTGGAGGCCTCTATTTTTACAGCATCCTTCATGCTCTTTTTTTAAAAAGTGTTTTCAACCTCTCCAGTCCAGATTCAAAATAAAATCAAAACTGTACGTACTACTAGGTCAATTCCAGATTTGAGAGGGTTGATTTATGAGGAGCGACTGAGTAGACTGGGATTATATTCATCGGAATTTAGAAGAATGAGGGGGGGGAATCTTATAGAAACATATAAAATTATGAAGGCAATAGACAAGATAGAAGCAGGGCGGCTGTTCCCACTGGCAGGTGAAACTAGAACAGGAGGGCATAGCCTCAAAATTAGGGAGAGCAGATTTAGGATTGAATTGAGAAGGAACTTCTTCACCCAAAGGGCTGTGAATCTGTGGAATTCCCTGCCCAGTGAAGCATTTGAGGCTTTGTCATTGAATGTTTCTAAAGCTAAGTTTTTTTTTGAACAGTAAAGGAATTAAGGGTTATAGTGAGAGGGTGGGTGAGTGGAACTGAGGCCACAAAAAGATGAGCCACCATCTTATTGAATGATGGAGCAAGTTTGAAGGGCCAGATGGTCAGGTTTTTGTGTTCTAACTCTGGTTTCTGCATTCCTGTGCCCCTTTCCACTCCCAATTCTTCCATACAAAACAGTGTCACCGCATTAATCAGGAACCTTGCTTTTCCATGTCATTGCTGTAGGTCACCAAAGTGAATTTGAATTGCATGCTGTGCCCAGCTGTTTCAGACCCATTCCATGGACCCTACTATCGGATGTGGGCATCTCTGCACCAAACAGCGCTGCTGCTGATACACGGCAAACTGATCATTCTCCTCTCCTACGCCGTGTCCCTGGTGACCCGGCATCCCCCCAGGCTTATGCGACAACCTTCACAGAAACTAGACTGAGTGACACCCTGAAGGAGTTTGCTCGGCGGTACAGATTCCATTTTGTCTGGAGATCGCAGGAATGAAGCTGCTGAGAAAAAAGTGAGAAGAGCAACATAAACAAAAAAAAGAAAGAGAATGGTAATGCAGCAATACCGTCTGCCTGGATTTTGGTGGAAAGTTGTGTTGGGCATCTAGAGATTGCTGCCCTACTGGAGCCCAGGATTTACAATACCCACCCAATGGGGCTGGGGTGGGCGGGGGCGGGAAAAATTCAATTGCTTTCCTTCTGCCATCAACTGTGGTCCATGAATATTCCGGCAAAACTCCTGCAATAACAACTTCAATGGACTGCAAGCTGTGTCCTGATGGATAGAAACTGTGTCCTACGCTTGATCCTGTTTTTTCAAATGGCCCTTGCTCTGGGAGAAGATGAAGAAAATGCCTCAGACACAATGCAACTCTCCCATGAAGCATTGACATTAATGACTGGGAGGAACTTGCTACCAATCGTTTTAGAATGAGGGTAGCTCATCCTGATGGGACATCCTGTTTCAAGTGACTGAAGTTCTTGAGGCCTGTTTGGTGACATGAAGACCTATGGTGGAAACCCTCCTCCCTGTTGACATCTCTCCAATTGAGGGAGGGCCTGGCTGGGAGCTAGACAATGGGGACATGTGGCGTTGTGAATCCACAGTTTGATGCAGAACAGGAGGCCTACCCGCATCATTGTGAGCCTCTCTGTCAACCTGATAACAAAAGGAAATTAAATAGCCGCATAGTGACTTTACTGCCTTTTTCTTTTATGATGTACTGTGTGTGAAAAGGGTGCATAATTCTAAGGCAGGAGGTTTAGAGGGACTTTGAGGAAAAGCTTTTTCACCCACAGGGAGGTGGGAATTTGGAATGCATTGCCTGGGAAGGTAGTTGAGTTGGGAAACTTCACAACCTTTAATAATGTGGAGATGTTGGTGTTGGACCGGGGGGGACAAAGCTGGAAGTCACACAATATTGGTTATAGTCCAACAGGTTTAATTGAAATCACAAGCTTTCGGAGCACTGCTCCTTCGTCTGTCACGAGGTCTCACATATGACATTCTGGCTTTTGTCCCCTACACCTCCATTGAGAAACTCCGAGATTTCCAGGTTTTATTCACATTCACATTCTCTTCTCATTCAGTGTAAAATGTATTACCCCTTCAGCTTGCATTAGTATTCCTCGCAAATTATCCTGATGACTGTAGAACAAAAATCTTCGACAAACTGTCTTCCTTAAGCCACACTCCATTTTATTAACTGTTAGTCTGTCCCAGGCGTTATGGCTGGTTTGTGACGTGGAATGATGCCAGTAACACAGGTTCAATACTCACATCGGCTGAGGTTACCATGAAGGTACCACCTTCTCAACCTCTCCCCTTGAGGCTTGGTGCCCTTCAAGTTAAACCACTGCCATTTGTCTCTATCTCTCACGTGAGTGCAGCTCTGTGGTTTGATACGATTATGCCAACTTTATTGAATTACGGAAGCACTACAGCAAGGATGATTCGCTCATGGAATATGGGTGTCTCTGGCTAAGTTAGCATTTATTGCCCCATCCCTAATTACCCAGAGGGCAGTTAAGAGTCAACCACATTGCTGTGGGTCTGCAGTCATATGTAGGCCAGACCAGGAAAGGATGACCGTTTCCTTCCCCAAAAGATATTAATGATGGGTTTTTCCAGTAATCAACAATGATTTCATGGTCATCATTAGACCCTTAATTTCTAATTCTTTATTGAATTCAAATTCCACACTCTGCCATGGTGGAATTTGAACCCTGTCCCCAGAACATTAGCAGAGTTCCTGGACTGATAGTTTTGCAATAATAGCACTAGGCCATAGCCTCCCCAATTTGGCTCATTGCTTCCTTGCTAGCCCTACTAAAGAATCAGTTTACACCCTGTCACTTTCTTTCGCGCCCCCCAACCCCCGTAACTCGCTCCAAAATGAAATAAATTCTGTGGCTTCATGCTTTGACTTAGTAACACATGAGGTAGTGCTTGTATCTATCAGACAGCAGGGCATTTCTTAGCAGTGGTTTAAGAGGAGAGTTGCTTTCTAGCAGTGAGCAATGTCTGATAATAGTAAAATGCAGTGTGCAAACAGAAGTGAAAAGGACTGATTAATCACTGCTGACCCAGACTCAATAAGACAGTTTCACTGCCAGCATAATCTTTGTTTAAACAATCTAAAGCTGATAGCCAGCCACAAAAGTGAAACTGTTTACTTTATTAAATTAGCTCTATCTAACTTGTGGGAGTGGTAAGGTTGCTTGCTTTCCCAGGGGCCAGTTATAATTCCAATTCACACAATAAATGCTGGCCAACACCCATGTCCCAAGGATGAATAAAGAAAAAATGTTGCTGCTGGGTGGGGAGTATAGAACCAGGAGGTACAACTCTAAAGGGGATGCCACTTATTTCTGATCAGAAATCACACAATACCAGGTTAGTCCATCAGGGTTATTTGAAAACATAAGCTTTTGGAGCCTCACTCCTCCTCCAGGTGTTCCTGGAGTGAAGGAGTGAGACTCCAAAAGCTTGTGTTTTCAAATAGGCCTGTTGGACTACAACCCGGTGTTGTGTGATTTCTGGGAGACAGCAAGAACTGTAGATGCTGGAGTCAGAGATAACAGTGTGGAGCTGGAGGAACACAGCAGGCCAGGCAGCTTCAGAGGAGCAGGAAGATTGACGTTTTGGGTCAGGACCCTTCTTCAGAAATGGGGAGGGGGAAGGGAACTGGGGAAATAAATAGAGGTAGGGAGTAGGGGGTGGGGGTGGGGGTGGGGCTGGGGCTGGGGCTGGGGAAAGGTAGGTGGGATGGTGATAGGTGGATGCAGGTAGGGATGGGTGGGGTAGATAGATGGGGAAGAAGATGGACAGGTTGTGTCAGATCAAGGAGGTGGGGATGAGAGGGATGTTTGGACATGGGATGAGGCCGGGGTGGAGAGATTTTAAAACTGGTGAATTCTAGGTTAAGGCCATCAGGTTTATGAGGTGTTGTTGCTCTAGTGTGCGTCTGGTGTCATTGTGACAGTGGAGGAGGCCCAGGCTCGACATGTCACCCAGGGAGTGGGAGTGGGAGTGGGAGTTAAAATGGTTGGCAACTGAAAGGCGTTGTCGTTTGTCACGAACTGAGCACAGATGCTCCACAAAATGATCCCCGAGTCTGCGCTTGCTTTGACCGATGTAGAGGAGGCCACACCAGGAGCAACGGATACAGTAGACCAAGTTGGAGGATGTACAAGTGAATCCCTGTCGGATATGAAAGGTTTGCTTTGGGCCTTGGATGGAGGGGAGGGTGTAGGGGCTGGTGTTGCATTTCCTGCGGTTGCAGGGAAAGGTGCCTAGGGTTGTGGGGTTAGTGGGGAGTTGGAGCAGATGAGGGAGTCGCGGAGAGAGCGATCCCTACAAAAGGCACATAGGGGTGGGGTGAGAAATATCTCTTCAGTGATGGGGTTGGATTGTAGGTGGCAGAAATGGCTGAGAATGATGCGCTGGATACAGAGGTTGGTGGGATGGGGGATTCTGTTTTTATTTTTCTTGGGGGAGAGGGTTTGAGGGCAGAAGTGCGGGAAAAGTGAGATGCGGTCGAGGGCATTTTTGATCACTGGAGGGGGGGAAGTTGCGGTCCTTGCAATAGGAGGAAATTTGGATGTCCGGGAGGGAATGCTCCATCTTGGAAGAAGATGTGGCAGAGGCGGAGGAATTGGGACTAAGGGATCGCATTCTTGCAGGAGGACGGGTGCTGTACTCAAACGAGTAGTGAAAAGTTTACAAGTCACCATTTAGGTACAAGCTACTTGGATACTGATTCTTCAGTACAAGTTCTTAGGGAAAAAAAAATTGAAAAATAAGGAAATAAAAGTCCAGCATTAACCATTGTAGGAATAAAATAGAAAAATAGAGAAATATCAAGTTCAGAATAACAACCCTTCCGGTACAGGCCACACTGGTACCTTGCCTCCAATCATCTTGAGGCCAAAAGTCCATGCTGAGGACACACTAGACTGAAAGATCACCATGGACTGCTGAGAGACCATCATGCCAAGCTTGGAGATTGCCAGGCCGTGCTGAGAAACCATCATACCAAGTCGAGGTTTTACTCAGAGTTGTGAACCTGTGGAATCCTCTACCCCAGAGGGCTATGGTCTTTTTTATATATTCAAGGTAGAGATTGATCAATTTCTGATTACAGGGTTATGTTTATGGGGTGAATAAAAAAATCATTGAGGTGTTTGACTAGCCATGACCCTATTGAATGGTAGGGCAGGCTTAATGGGCTGAATGGTCTACTCCTGTTTCTATCTTGCAATAAAATTCATGGTCAGACCCTGTCTGCAAGACTGTGCTCCATTTTTGGCACCACACATTAGGCTACTTGACAAAATATGAACCTGTGGTGTTGGGGCAGCATATTAGCATGGAATGAGGATTGGCTAACCAATAGAAGACAGAGAGTTGAGATAAGGAGGGACGTTTACAGGATGGTGACCTGTAACTAGCGGTGTGCCACTTGGATCAGTGCTGGGCCACTGTTACTTACAATATATTTTAATGACTTGGATGAGGAAAGTAAATGTATATTATCGAGTTTGCAGATAACACAAAAATGGGTGGAAAGGCAAAGAGTTGGAAATGACACAGTGAGTCTGCAGAGGGATATAAATAAGTTAAGCAAGTGGACAAAAACTTGGCAGATGGAATATAGTATGGGAGAATGTAAGGTTATTCACTTTGGCAGGAAGAATAGAGGAGCTGAATATTATTTAAATAGAAAATGCAGAAAGCTACAGAGCAGGAGAATTTGGGAATCCTCGTGTGTGAACCACAAAAAGCTAACATCCAAGTTCAGCTAGTAAACGGGAAGGCAAATGGAATATTAACTTGTATTTCAAAAAGAGAGTATAAAGGTAGGGAATTCTTGCTAAAAGGGACCAGTTAGACCACAGCTGGAAGACTGTGAACAGTTTTGAGCACCTTATCTAAGGAGAGAAATGCTGGCATTGAAGGTAGTCCAGAGAAGGTTCTTTAGGGTGATGCTGGGTATGGAGGGATTTTCCTATGAAGAGGTTGTACACTTTGGAGTTCAGAAAAATGAGAGGCGACCTTATTGAAACATGAAAGATTCTTAGGGGACTCAAAAGGGTAGATGTGGAAAGGTTGTTTCCCCTTATGGGATCACTAGAACCAGAGGGTATAATCTCATTTTAAGGGGTCACACATTTAAGACAGAGATAAGGAGGAATTTCATCTTCACAGGTTAGTGAATCTGTGGATTTTTTTTTTTAAACTGCAAAGGGCTTTTACGGGTCATCAAGTATATTCAAGGTTTCGATAGACAGAGGTTTTTAAATCAGTAAGGGAATCAATAGTTATGGGGAAAGGGCAGAAAAGTGAAGTTGAGAATGATCAAATCAGCCATGATCTCATTGAATAGTACAGCAGATTAGATGGACTGAATGACCTTCTTCTACATCTATGTCTTATGATCTTTCTAAAGGATCAAGTCCTGAATATGTTTTTCCAGCGCAGGACATTTGTTTTTAACTCTAGGATAATCTGGCATAAATTAACCACGAATTAAATTTCTTATCAAGAGGGCTAAGTGGCCAAATGCTTGGTTAATGAGATCAACTTTCAGGAGTGTCTTAAAGGAGGAAACATATAAAATAGGTGCAAGAGTAGGCCATTTAGCCCATCAATCCTGCTGTGCCATTCACTGTGTTCATTGGTTGATCCAATATCTCAA